CTCAAGCCTCTGGATTTGTTTGCAATGAGAGATTTGTTGTGGATTTTTAACAAGGCTCCTGTGTGTGTGCCATGCTTAGTAAATATTAGCCTTCAGGGTATTTTTCAGTCATGCTGAATGGACTGTTAGTTTTCCCAAAATGCAAAGTGCAGAAAGTCCATTTCACTGGGGTTTTTTGTTTTGTTTTGTTTTGTTATTTTCTGGGGGATTTTGTTGTTTTGGATTTTTTTTTTTTCCTATAGAGATTGTATCACAACTGTACAAAAAAAAAAATTATCATAAAGAGGATTGTGTCTGAGGGGCTTGGGAGAAAAGAGGCCTGTAAGTGTGTAATGTCCAGTTCTTAAATAAGTGGTATATCAAGTGTTATATTTCTGTTATGATAATTATAAAACAGTATTTTTATTTTATTAATGGTACTGTGAACATGAAAATATGACAAGTCACTAAAATATGGCACCTTTTACCCAGAGGTTGTAGTAGGAAAACTTATAAAAATTGTTAGATGTTAGACAGAAAGATATTTATAGAGAAATAGAGAAAATGAAAACAAAGTACCATGTATGTAAATTCCGTACATAATGTAATGTGGGACTAAAACAACAGTGAAAAAGAAATGGACATTGTGAAGGATTTCAATGCCTTCCCATTATACAGTTTAATGTTTTGATAGTTAGTGGAGTTTAATATTACAATATTTCTAGTGCCCCTGTGAACTATTTGTGGATACTTTTTATGAGCTAATTTTAAATGAATATGAGCAATGGGATGAAGCTGTTTCATTTGAACATGATTTATAAAAACAAAAAAGCTTCCTGAGATGGCGTGGGTATGCTGAAAGCAGAACTGTACTGACATAGTCAAACTTTACAGAACTCAAGTGATTCTTTTTCACTTGCTGTGGCAAGTCTATACTAAAAGTCTCTATCAGTAATAGTGAAGTACTGCAGTGTTTTGATCTCTTTGATATTCTGGAGAATGATTTTTCTTTTCTTATTGTCCTCATTTTAAGAGATGATGGAGCAATGAATAGAACAATAATTTATTGAGTATTCACACACTGTATGTATATTTTCATTATACATTTATAGAAGACCTATTGTTTAGTATTTTCTGCTGGAGGCTAGTCTTGTAAAAGAATAGTCTAGAATAGACTCACTCAGTGCATGTGTTGTCCATTTGCCTGTCAGCAATAGTTTTGACATTAAAAACAGGGAGTTTGAGTGACTGCTGGTCTGTCTTAAGGTATGGTAATGAGGCTAATTAGGAGAGATGAGAGCTGAACTGGATATGTGAAGGCAATTATCCGTGAAACTTTTGTCATGCTTTATCTTTATCAGATCTCTCTCTCTCGATTTTTGGCATTTTCCAGTGACATGCAGAATGGAAATACTTGAAGTGATACGCATTTTAGAAAAGCAAAGTAAAGAAAGAAGGCAGAAGGAAATTTATATGAGGACATCTCATTATAAAACTGTACAACTTATCATGGATATTGTAGATCAGCAGGAAAATATCTTGCCTGTTTTATTCTTGTCACTTGCATTTACATGAAGTAAAATCAATTGCTTTTTGTGAAAGTGAGTTTACTAGACAACATCCCTCCTGTTCAGTGCACTTTTTTTTGTTCTTTTTATGTTATTACTATCTCCAGCAAACATTATAAAACATACTTGAAAGAAAAACAAGAAAATACTATCAAAAGAGAATAAAAATGCATTTAATTGTAATTTTTTTTAAACACTGAATTTTTCTCATTTCTGTTTTAAGAAGGCTAGTGTGATTTACTTTCAGACTTTTTCTTACAATCTAGTACAAACTGATTTTAAAAGAAGCACTGAATAGAGCAAATGAAAACCATGTGCCACAAGTCTTGATGAATCAATGCATATAACCCTCAAAGAAAGACGGTGATAAATGAAACTTGCACATTAATGAGACCATAACCAGGCTCAATTACTAGGCCTTTTTGAAGAGCCATAGTAACTTCACACATCTTTTTATGTTAGAGAGAAAAAATTACATCCTCTGAGCTCTCTGCACACTCCTGCTTCTTGCACTATGTCAAAAGAAAGTGTGCCTCTAATCCATTTTTAAAGAGACCATAATGTTAAAGAAAAGCCTATCTATATAAGACACATTCAATGTGTTTTTAAAAGAAAAAAAATATTCATTGTAATTTAGATCATTTTACTTGGACATTTTATGTGAGTCTACCAAATGTGCCTATGAAGTAATATTACGGACTTCAAGTCAAATTTGTCTTAATAGTCCTCCCTTCTGAACTTGCTAAAAGTATGGCAAGGAGTATAATGAATAGGTGTGTAATAGAGATTAACATTTACTGCCCTAATATTTTTCCATTAAGCAGCAGTTCTTTTGCTCAGATTTTTTTTGCAGTACATATGTTAAAAGCTTTGAATTTAGTGCTAGCAACAACATTACACATGTCCAGAGTGCCAGCAAAAAACACTTGAGGTTTATAATAATAATCTTAAATAATACGTGAAGGGCTGAATTGTATTTTGTGTCTTTAATTTAATTTGCTTTTGGTAACAGTAAGGAAATTTGTTCAGTCTCAAAGCCATTGTCTGCTTACTACTGTGAGATCTCTCTGTTCTGTAAAGCACAGTAGAATATTGCTGCTATCAGCTGTCACTTCCTCTCTTTCCCTGTGTTGTTCATGCAGACATATACACACATAAAACCACCTTATTCTTTCTACACTGCAAAGACTGCAAAAGGGGCTTATTGCAGTTTATAATTGGTAGCCATTAGTTTCTTTGATATCTTCTACTGAGCTTTAGTAAAAAGGTTACTGTTGCCTCCATGAGAGAGTTCAGAGAACTCCTCTTTCCACTGGCTTTTATGTGATGAAGAAGGATGAAAAATCTTAGTGCACAGTCCACAGAAATAATAGTGTTAATGCTAATGCTGATGTTAATGATGATGATGATAATAATAATAGTAGTTATTATTATTGTTATTAATAATCATAATGATGACAATAATAATAGCAAACAATTGGAGGCAAAAAACCAAAAGACCCAAACCAAAACTGGCTTGACAGTTTTCTGCAGAGCAGGAATAGGACAGTGACCACAGAAATGCTACTTTAGTCATCTGCAAAAGCAGTGCTAGGGACAAAGGATGCATGGCACCCTTTCTTGCTCTAGAGTTCAAATTTGATATTCACAGTTATAAGGATCTGGAATACAGATTTGTGCAAGAGGGAAAACTGAAAACAATCTTTAAATAATTTATCTGTTATCTATGAGCATGGCTAAACAGACTCCTCATATGCATTCCTACTCTCTTCATCTCCTCTATTGACAGTCAGTTGTGTTATGCATGCCTGGTCTTCTGTATAAATTTATAAAGAGAACAAATGTGCTGGTCTCCAGGTGTCACTAGGAAAATTATGCAAAATCTTGTGATCCAGTACCACAACTAAATAATCTATAGAAGTAATTTATATAGTTGCAGAAGCTAACTGGTTTTTTAAATTGTGTCTGGATGTCTTTACCATGTTTTCATAAGCAGCTGACAGTGGTGGTATATAAACACTTTAAACATTTTATTATAGTACTGAGGCAACAGGTTACCTATGGTGCTTGCACCCAATAGGTTACTAATGAAGTGTCATTTCCCTGCCTTATTTGGTTTGTGTTGCAACCTTAATTATATTTCAATTTTAGAATAAGTTCTCAAAGTAGTGTACAGGGATTTGGCCACACGACTTGCATTAACATTAATCAAAATCGCGTGTCTGAATTCCCACCATACTCCAAATGTATCCTGGGATTGTTGGTGGGGACTGTGTGCAGGAGGTGCACATGCAATAGGTTTTACCACTGGCTTCCTCTTATTCTGAGTTGTGATCCTGCTTTTCATACCTGAAATAAAAAGATGGCAGGGAATACTGAAGCCCAAGTTCACAGGCTGTGTCTGTGAGGTCAGTGACAATTCATGTTTCCTCACTTTAATCGACATGAAGGAGTTTTGCTGAGAGGCTGAGGTGGCAACTGTAACCCAGAGAATCAGTCATGTTTTTTAGGGAGCTGCAGAATTTTGAGCCTGAGGTTGCAAAGCTCTTCAATAAAATACAGCTTCTTCATCTCTGTCATCATCCTCTGTGCCAACCAAGGCTTTGTGAAAAATGGTGACCTATTTTTATTGGTGATGTTCATGTTCTTAGAGTTTTGCATTTTTCCGTGTTTTCCTGTTTCTGGTTACAAAGCAAAGTGTCAAATATTACCCCTAAGGGGGGAAGTGTTTCAGCAGTTCTCACAGTCCCAGTGGAGGCAGTGCCTGGAGTTCAGTGAGGCAGCCTGCTCAGAGGTCCTCCTGACCAATTGAAGTAGGCTCCAGAGATTAGACTCATTTTGGTGTAGTTGGCCATGGATTGAAAAGGGTTGGTGGTTTTTTTTTCATACATGTATTTTATATGCTTTAGTCATTGGTGGTCACCCACTTAGAGGCATTACTCTATCATGGGTTTAATTCCAGAATTTCTCACAGAACCAAAATAAAATTATATTTTCCAGTCCTCTTTAATACTCAAATGAAGTTTTCTCATTAAAAATAAACTCTAAAAAGGCTGTGTGTACCAAAATTAAGAGAGTTTCTGTCTGAGAATTGAAGTCAGTAAAATACAACTGTTTATAAGTTTATCATGGTTATAAGCTGTGTTTTTGCATCTATGTCTTCTACTGCCTTCTTTAGAGCACCTTTAAGAGGAGGAAAAAATAAAAGATGACCTTCCATGTCTAAACTAATATGTGCATGGCATCAGAGGAAACCTCTAGGAGAAAAACTCTGAAGTTTCTTTGAGTATCCTATGATATTGATGAGTGCTGACTGAGTGAAAAACGGGAAAAAGATGTTTCATTTACTGGATTTGAAAGTAGTTACCGCATAAAATAAATAACAGCTTTCCATAATGATTTTCCATTAATCCATATATGTAATGCAAATAAATGAATAAGAAGTTTCATACC